CAGTAATACAAGTCTGTGTCTCGGTCAATGTATGTTGCGATTTAGTGAGCATGTAAGACATGCTAGAAAAGGCAACTACTCCTAACCCTGAAGAGGTGAGAAAGATACTAAATGAACGTAGGTATTTCTAAATGTCTCTATACTGTCCTTGAGGTCATTAAATTAAAAAAAAAAAAAAGATGCAACCTGCTATTTGTTTCACCTGGTTGATAAAAAATGTAGCTGAAAGGTTTTGTGAAAAGTCTTTAAAAACAACTGCCACATTAGGAACTAATCTCCTGGATAAATGCCTAATAACTATATAATAGATCTAGTGTTAACCTGCTCTGAGTTCCCTACTCTGATAATTACCTATATGTAAAATAATATCATTGAACCACAGCGATAATTTACTGGTAAAAATAATTAATTTGTGACCCAAGATCATTAAACATTTTTTATGACTCTTAGTGTAAGGAGAAAAACTTCACAGTAAATGCAGCATCTGTAGAAATAGCATCATTATTAAGAAATCAACTAACAGTCTCTTGGAAACGTCAAAGTATCTTACCAACTTGATATTTAAATCCCTTAATAATTTTGAATAAGCACTAAAATCATAAAGTTGTAGCATTACCTAACATTGCTATGGCCATGTGCTGGCGATGAGGCAGGTAAAATGCTTAAATGATATTAGAATATCAAATAATAGTTACAAGTATTTGAACAGTACCACTCAAACTTTCAACATGCATTCATTATTTATTGTATGCACAGTGCTTATTAGAACTGAATCCATGTAAAGAATAAGAAAATACAACCACGGACTTAGTTTATTGTCAAGAAAGTTTATGTCTGTTGCAATAGGGTATATAGCAAAAAGAATGCTATGTAATTTCCTGCATGAAGTGGAAAGATCTCATGAAAGCTAAACATAAAATTTGTGAGAATATTGAATATAATAAAAATATGCTTGTGCTTTATTTTGGAAGCATTTGGACTTACTAGAATCTCACATCTGGAGGCACAGCATAAAAGCAGCATTTTGGATATGTTCATTTCAGACAGATTAATTAGAAAAACTGGAAAGTCTCATCAGAGGCAAATTTATGAGTTGGGTTATGGAGTTGTCATCTAGAATGATCAGAAAGTGGCTGAAACAAGGCAACTGTCCTATAACATAACAGTGACAATAAATGAGGAGGAAAGTAAGAGAAAGAGATTGACAGCGGTAGGTAAATCAGAGGGCTGATTCTATTTTAATGACACAGAAGTATACTATTGTATTTGTCAAGTCTGAGAGGATGCTTTCCATGGAACCTTTTGCTCATCTGTGAAGATGTCAACAACACCATCCCCCACATTAGCTGTGCCCACCACCATCAACATCTCCACCATGGCTCTACTCAGCGTGTAGAATGCATATGCAGTTATGGTTAAAGACATCACATTTTTACATTCAAAAAAATTAAACATATTGTGATGCCTGGATATACCAGTGAAAATACACAGATCAAATATTTGCCACATGAAAGAGCAAACTAGGTCATGTAAAAAGTGTTAGGGCACAAGAAGGGGAAGTATGGATCCCAGCATGGAAGCCTAGCAGCTGAAGCCCTCACCTTGCACACGCCAGGATGCCATCTGGGCGCCAGTTAGAAACCCGGTGTTCCCACTTCCCATCCAGCTCCCTGCTTGTGACCTGGGATAGCAGTTGAGGACAGCCCAAGGCCTTGGGACCCTGCACCTGTGTGGGACACTGAGAAGAAGCTCCTGACTCCTGGCAATGGATTGGCTCAGCTTGGGCCATTGCGGATGCTTGGGGGGAGTAAATCAATGGGTGGAAGATCTCCCTCTGTCTCTCCTCCTCTCTGTATATATGGCTTTCAAAAAAAAAAAAAAAGGTGGGGGCATGTAGTACAAGCTGCAAGAGGACACAACTTTTAAAAGAACAGAATTTGTTTGATTTGAAGATTACACATTTGATGACATGTTGCTGGGTCTGATGTATGACAAGGGGGAATACTAGCCAACAAAGAGCTTTTAATGGTAGGAAACCTCTTCAACTCTCATGTTTTAGGTACATTCAACCCTGGTGAAGATTATCAACTACAGAATTTAACTATTCCTCAATATTTTCTTGTTCTCTTTATTCAGTCTAAATCATTAGTGTGCAGTCATACGGGCAGTATTCATATAACTTTGCAACAACAGGACATATATGAGGGGCCAGCACTGTGGCTCAAAACAGGCTAATCCTCTAGCTGTAAGCACCGGCATCTCACATAGGCCCCGGTTTGTGTTCCAGCTGTTCCACCTCTGACCAGCTCTCTGCTTATGGCCAGGGAAAGCAGCAAAAGATGGCCCAAGTTCTTGAGATGCTACACCCATGTGGGAAAACTCAGAAGAAACTCCTGGCTATTGGTTTCAGATCGGCTCAGCTCCAGCCATTGTGGCCATTTTGGGGAGTGAACCAGGGGATAGAGGATCTGTTTTTTCCTTCTCTCTCTGTAAATCTGTCTTTCCAATAAAAATAATTAAAAGTTGTAAAAAAAAATTATAACACATCTGTGATGAAAGCTGCTTCTATTTCTATTTAAGCCGGAACAGCAGCTCTCATCTCAGCTTCAGGCAAGCCGTAAGATCACGTTAGTCACCTCATCATCTCAGCCATACACCTAAGGAAAAGCCATCTTACTTCACATTCCAAGTTCTGTAGCCAGGTTACCTTCGGCAACATCCTGGCTGGAGCATTCTAGAGTTCTGTATAATGGTCATAATAGCCATACATATATCGGAAGGTTATTTGCAAGAATAAATGCTGTACAGATAAAGCATTTAATCTACTGCTGAGTACATTATAAAACCCTAAATAAGTGTTACCTTTTATTTAAGTAATCTTTCTTTATGTTCCCAATTGGACATCTCATTCTAGGTACTTATAAAAACTGCTGAGAACATATGCTACAAGCAGAGTCTAGGAGACAAAGTACTCCACTACTAACTAATTGGGCAGAAAACAGAAGTGCAGAGGAAAATTCTTTTCTCATTGGATATGTTCTCTAACAGCCGAGCCAGGAATACAGTTTTCAAGGTAGATATTGAAATGAAACATTGCTTTCTGATGGTTTCTCTATTAGGCAAGTTCTGAAGAAAGTAAAATCATTAGACAATTTCATTTCTATATTGGTATACTTGCAGACTCACTTGAGAATTGGTGGCTTGGAACAAAGCAATCATACATCTATATATCTCCTAACTATTATATGTAGCTAAATATTCAAGGGACATTAAATAAACAAACATATATGCAATTAGGCATAATAAAAAAATAAAGTCATTAAGAACTTTACCCATTTTTTGACACTCGTATTGGTGAAAATTTTATTTGTCACCTACAAATGATTCTGGGTTTAAGAATCGTTTAACTAGTGATAGACAAGATAATAGATATTTCAGGCCTGTGAACCACAAAGTTCCTCCCCTTATTCTTTTTTGAAAGGCAGATTTAGAGAAATAAAGAGATATATAAAGATCTTCCATCTGCTGGTTCATGCCCCAAGTGGCCACAACATCAGAGATGAGTTGATCTGAAGCCAGGAGCTCCTTTTGTATCTGCCATGCAGGCACAGGGTCCCAAGGGTCTGGGCCACCCTCAATTGCTTTCCCAGGCCACAAGCAGGGAGTTGGATATGAAGTTCAGCAGCAGGGCCATAAGCCAATGCCCATATGGGATCTCTGGTGCTTGCAAGGTAAGGATTTAGCCGCTTAGCCATTGCACCGGGTCCATAACACAATTCTGTTCCAACTCTTCAGACCCTGCTTTTGCAATGCTAATGTAACAATAGATGGTATGTGATTTAATCAATGTGGCTGCATTTCACTAAAATGTTGCTGATAAACAATGGAATTTGAATTTTATAAAAATTTTAAGTTGCAAACTCATCTCATTTTGATTATTTTTCGTCACTTATAAAGGTAAAAACAATTCTTAGCTCTTGAGCTACAGAAAATGTGGCAGTGAACTGGATGTGGTCTGTAGGTCATAGTTGGTGACTCCCAGAAATTTTGTTCAGTCAAGCAAAAATGACCAGTAAGAAAAAGCAGAGTAATTTATGTTGCAATTATCACAGAGTGTCATAAGTCACGAACTAACAGAAAAGTACTTAAATTTACCAAATAATGTGTTTCAAAAGCTTTGCTAGTTTTTTTTTTCCTTGCTTAGAACATCTGACACAGTATTTTTAGGGATGCGTTCTTCCCATACTTCTATACACTGGCATACGAAAATTCTAATGTCAAGTGTGCTCCACGCGTTACTAAACATATGCTGCTTAGAAACATAAGGCAGATTTTAATGTTTTTCCTTAAGCTTAGAATTATAATATCCGTAATAAAGGGAAAATTGTATCTTTATGATTTTCAAGCTAGGTGTACACTTATGAAATTTTATTGCAATCATTTTAATGCATACGCTGATTTACATTATACCTGACTTATCTGCAATGTCTACTTGAGAATTTCCACAAAAGGAAACAAAAATTCTAACACTTCCAATATACGAATTTATAAATATCAGAGAACAGGAAATCTGTTCAGCAATTACTCTTGATGTAGGGTGTGCAGATTGAGACATCATGTTCTCCTAAAGTAGCACAAGAGATCTTGTCTATTATTGGTATATCTTTTTCATGAAAACATACTTTCCATTACTGGAAGAAAGGCACATAATGAAAAACTAGGGATTGTACAAGTCTACTAGAGAGAGAAACTTTGAGGTTTAAAACATATCTGTGACAGTTTATTACCTGTAGTTTCTTTCAATTGAGGAAATCATTAAGTATTCATTGTTTCTTAAACTTTCTTCACAATTGCTCTCACTAAATTAACATTACAGCACACCAGAGCTCGGGAAAATATTGTTGAAGTAAAAGCAGTACCTGCAAACCAGGTGTATATGTGTGTTTCTGATTCATCATGAATCTTCATTTGTTGAAACGCCATGCATAAGATTCGCTCACCTTTTCTTGATTTCAGAATCCACGACAATCTGCCTCTTCTTTTGGGGAGGTGGTGGTGGAAGCTCCTCTTGAGCATGCTTTACCAGGATTTGTTCCCTTGTGGTCACCATAGTTACTGTTTCCATTACAGTTGTCTGTGTTAGTGATGGCTGAGTGGTGGTGACAGCCTGTGAAATCTGTGAGAAGCATTGAATCAGAGGTCACACAATGCTCGAAAAGGCTGCAGCGAACATTGCTTCGAATAGCAAAGGAAAATAATGAGAAACTATTTCTACCTGTTGGTAGATTGACCTTCAGATCAAAATACCACCGCATAGAACCCAAATCAAATTGTTATCCGATTTCTGTTGCACTGACTGAAATGCTGTGGGACAGTAATTTTAAAACCAAAAGAAAACTTAGTATCTCTTCAACTTCCTGGTCAAACTTTAGGAAACAAACCAGGTGCAGGAAAAAAAAAACACTGGGTATCATTGTTTTTAAATAGGCAAGCTGTTTAAAGTGCTCACAATGTAAATACATGTTTCATCAAAATATCCAAGCCAAAATCTCACTGCCTGGCACATTGAAGACATCATTAATAGCTCACAGATGTTATTTTTGATTGATAATGGACTATTCTATATATTTCAGAATTCTTTGAATTCTACAGTTGCTATTTTAATCAACTAAGTGAAATACCTCTTAAAATTACAATGAAAGCTTAACAAATTATTCCATAAGCATCTCCATGTTGAATGTTCTTCAAATACTTAGAACTGAATTATTGTGGCTTAACTTATTTTAATTTACATGCCCAGATTCTTCAGATTCCAAATGCATCACTAGAGACTCAATGGCACTTTCTACTCGACACTGAGGACAAAGCTCAGTTCATCACGTTAGGACTTAAAGTGGTTTCTAACTCCAGCTATTCCAGAAGAAGAACCCCATCAATGCAACTCTCCTTCCCCAAGTTCAGAATATTCCTGTTATTAAAGTTACTTCTTTCTATGTTTATACTTATTCTTCTAGTAATGAGATTGTTTTAAAGGATCTGTTTCCAAGAACAAGAACAACAAAAAGCCTTCATTGGCTTTGATTTTATGTATTGGGTGAGGGATCTGAAGCTGGGGTAGAGGTGAGTCACAGTGATTTTGCTGAACTTGCCAAGACATATGGAAAGAATTTGGAGTCATCTCCAGGCTGCATGTAAGATGACTGATCAATTCAATGGGAAGCACGGGGAAGCCCCTGGGTACTTTTTGCAGCATCTATTTTGGGCGTGGGCACTGAAGGAATGAAACCCTTTGCTACCAATTCTTAGGTACACACTGATGCGTTGGCATACATATTTCTACAATGTTACCTTTATACAAACCATATCTTCACAAATGTAAAGAACTGAGGGAGTTTTGTTAAGGTCAGGACACCAAGATATAATGAGTTTCTATGTGTTCCTAACATAGGTTTCATCTTAAAACTGTCATAGATTCATTATTTAAAATCATTGACTATCAGACAATTTTCATTATATAGTCCATTGACATGTTATGTCAAGATGAAAACAAATGTATTTTTAAAATGCTTAAAATACGAACTCAAGCGTAATTGTACCCAACATGCAATGAGCTTTACATAACCAAGTTTAACTGTAATAAAAAAGAAAAGGTAGCTTTTCAGTAAGGTCTCAATATTTTGAAGTCTGACGTGATATTTAAAAGCCTTATCAAATGTCTTTTGCATATAAACATGGCTAGAAAATATTTTTCAGATTCTGAACATATCTGATTTTAATTGTGAAGGTAACAAAATGGATATGAATGAATAACGTCAATGGTTGGTGAAATAAGTCAGTCCCCAAAAGACAGATACCATATGTATTCTCTGTTTTGTGGTAGCTAATATACAGAGTACAAAAAGAAAATGGAATGTGAATGAGTGAAATTGACATTTTGAGATTTGATTACTGTTTATAGCCCTTGTCTATACTCTGGAGGGACAGTGGTTTTTCTGCCTACTGCCTACTGAATTCTTCATTTAGTGGAGAGTTAAGTTTGATAATATAAGGTACAGTGAAGGTGTGTTACTGCAAATGTTAAAAGAAAAATAAAAAAGGTAGAAGGGAAGGCAGGAGTAAGGGATGCAGAGAGGGTGGGCAGAAGTACTTGTATGCATTTGAAACAGAAAAATGACATATCTGAGATGTTCCCATTTTATACAAGTATTTTTTAAAAATGTGTGGGCCACAGAAGGCCAAGATTCTGAAAATGTAAAGCTATTTTTCTTGCAGTTTTTTACTAATCTTGTTGAACAGTGTCAGAAACAAGTATTTGGCTGAGAAATTTATTTCTGTAAAGTTAGTAATATTTTGTATTGACAGTCATGATAAAATTTGATAGATGTGTCCACGGATGGTAAAGTGAAATGACAACAAGGTATACTATGATATTGCAATTAAGGATATAGCAAACCATGTAAGAGAAAAAGAAGCATTTTTAACAAAACAACAAGATGCAGGCTTGTAATTTTTTGACAGTATAATGGCTACTTCACTGTAATGGACAATTGCGACTCTTTCATTTGGGATAAAGAACTAGAAAACAACCACGTGCAGACTTAGGAAGATAGGGAAGAATGTGTTACAAGCAATCAATTAATAATTGCTTTCCAAATTCATTCCAAATAATCAGAGTACAAACAACCACACACCTAACTTCTTCATGGCTCTTACTGCTGATTTACACGTGCATGTTACAACCATGAGTAAATCTGCACAAGGCGGGGTCACCACTCCCAGGAGCACACGACCCTTCCCTGTGATATGGCAGCAGCCTTACACACTGACAAAAATCTAAGAACCAAGAAGACTTCTTTATTTTGAACTTCCTCCAATTAAGATTTTTAGAACCCACCAACCAATCCACATTATGGTCTTCTACCAGACAAAATCTTTCAGCAGCCTCATTCCCAAACTCTGTAATGCTGTTTATTTATTAGAATTCATCTGGTTTAGGCCTAATGAGGTTAGCCTGGTGGCTAAAGTCCTCACCTTGCATGTGCCAGAATCCCATATGCACATCAGTTTGTATCCCGGCAGCCCCACTTGCCTTCCAGCTCTGTGCCTGTGACCTGGGAAAGCAGTTGAGAATGGCCCAAAGCCTTGAAACCCTGCACCAACATGGGAGACCAGGAAGAAACTCCTGGCTTGAGATCACTCAGCTCTGGCCAAGTAAAACCAGTGGATGGAAGATCTTTCTGTCTCTCCTCCTCTGTAAATCTGCCTTACCAATAAAAAACAAATCTTTGAAAAAAAAAAAAAAGAGAATTCGTTTGGTTTGCGCTCCAAAGCCAGTATTTCCTGTCTGGACACCATCTTTATTGAAAGCAATGTACCACTGCTTTCACTTCTTCAATTGAGAGGCAAAGCAAGTTCTCTTGTTTCAGAAACATGCCACATAGTGGGTTAGGCTACAATCATAAAAAAATAATTATGAAACAAAGGTTGATGCCACATGAAAAATCATGACCAGGCGTGGGAGTAATGTGTGCTGAATACACGGTAATCAAGGAAACAGTACAAACTCGAAATGTTACAGATTTTTCTTTGCCAACATCTTAACATTTAAAGGTGTTTAGCTGCCAAGGGCTTAGTATAACATTTATCCCTGCTCACAGGGTCATTTATAAAAGTAAAATACTGGATACAGGCTGATGTCAGGAGGTGATAGTTTACGTTATGGTAAATGCATGTGATACAGTATTGTACATACTTCAAAGATATAATGTCATCGGAAAATGTTGACAGCCCTGTGCTGAGTGAACAATGTAAAATATAAACAATGGTGGGATTTGTGCAAAGAAAACACAGAAAATTGCAATTGTACACTATGTATTTCCATATTCAGTTTGCTCCTTGTCTATTATGAAGTAATATTGTTCAAAATGTGGTTTATACAACAAGATTCTTTTCTTCAAAGGGAAGGGTGAGAAGGAAGAGGAAATGGGGGAGATGGAGACAGAGACTGAAACAGTTGCTATTTGTCATTTACTTGCCCATATGTTCATAACAGCTTAGGCTAGGGCAGGCTTCAGCGAGACATGAGGGGATTAACCTCATGTCTCTCTTGTGGCTGTCAGACTCAACTACTGACACATCATGTGCTTCCTCCAAGGGGGTTTCAGCTCACAGCTTTGATTTTCTCTCTTTCCAAATGAAGCAGGAATGACAAAATACAATGAAGCTCACAGTGGGCTTCTAAGTGTTACAAGTGCACAATTCCTGCAGTTGCCAGGGGCCAGTGCTCAGAAAGAATCTTTGCATTGCTTCAAACTATTCATTTTCTTGAAATCCATACTTTTTAAAGGCTTATTTACTTGTCTTGGTAAGACATATTTACAGAGTGAAGAAGAGACACAAAGATCTTCCATTCACCACTGCTTCAGTCCCCAATTGGCCAGCTGAGCTCTGTTCTGAAGCCAGGAGCTTCCTCCAGGTCTCCCACGCAGGTGCAGGCTCCCAAGACTTTGGGCCATCCTGCCCTGCTTTTCCAGGCCACAAGCAGGAAGCTGGATGGAAAGTGGAGCCGCCGGGACATGAACCAATTATGGGATTCTGATGCTTGAATGCGAAGGATTAACCAATTGAGCCATTATGAGGAGATCAAAATTATTAATAGTTTTGAAAGAAGCAGCACTGAATTGTCCTTCTATACTGGGCCCACACACATGAAGACACTCCTGGTTTCAAGGATTAAATGGTGTCTACACATTGATAAATATTAGTACTAATTAGTATATTTCCATATGCTTTCAGAAATTTCTAAAATTTTTCTATAGTAAATTTTTCTATGTGCAAGGTTAAATGAGCTCATTTCTCAAAATTAGTTTCCCTCCATGAGGAAAAAAAGGCACTTTTTCTTGGTGTTTTGTTATTTAGGGATCTGTATACTCTTGCAGTAAATTTGGATTATTAGGCCTGAAAATATCACCTATATATAGAAATGAAGCTCTTATCATTTATGCATAACAATGCATAAGGCACGTATGTGCATTTACGTAAATTTAAATGATATAAATGGTCATACAGGTAAAGCAGACTTCCCCATGAGCTTTTCCAGCTTTTTCAGGGACACCCAGTTGCATTTATCACCATTCACCTAATATTGTCATTTAAGTTCACTTTACTGCTATGGCT